AGCTGCTGCAGGCACAGTGGGAACCAAGCCCCATTCGAGCTGCCCTATTCACCATGTAGCTCTTAAAGGTACCTCCAGCTGGGGTGAGCCAAAATCCCCAGATTTCATTAAAAAAAAAACAGAGCTGATTGCAGAACCCGGCCCCAGGAATGCTGGGCTGGGATGTTTGCTGCCAGGCTAAGCAAGGACATGAGCCCACCTGAACATTTCCCAGAACAAACAGCCGCTGTTTAACACTGTCAAATCCCCTAAAAATTCAATTAAAGGAATGGTAAGAGCTGCTCATCCCTCAGCCCTGCAGTGGCAGGAAAATTTTTCATGTGCAAAAAGCTGAAGGCTTTGGAGTCTGTGAAAGCTGGGCAAAAGAGGCAGCTGTTGCACACAGATAAAAGTGAATTTATTTAGCAGGCAGCTCTCAAAGAGCCCAGTCTGGAGCATCCCCCAACCCTCACGGACCCCCAGGGAGGCAAATATCAGAGTCCACTCAGTTTTGCTGTTTTCTCTGGGATTGCTTCAGCTGCTGCTGGAAAAGCTGCTCCCTGCAACATGAGGTTTATTAACAGCCTCACATCAGCTGCTCCCCAGCTGTGCCTGTAGAAACACTGGAATTAAAAACTGCTTCCACAGGAGCCAGAGAAAAACATGGCTTTTCCTCACCCTCTTTTTCTCTCCTGCCTCCTGGAGAGAGCTGTCTCACTTTTAGTTCCCCTCCATCACTTTTTGAGTTCAACTGGCTGATTTCCATCCGAGCTGGTCTCCGAACAGCATTTTCCCCACTTGTTGTGTGGAAGCAGGATGCTGCCAGAAGGGAATGCAGCTTTTTGATGCCTTTTCCCTGCTAATATGCAGGGAGGAAAGGCTGCCTCCAGGGTTGTACCCAAGCTGATTGATCCCAGGGGAGGGGGTGGCTTGGAACCCAAGCTGGGTCACCTCCCACCTCAGCTCAGAGGTGTCCTCCAGATGCGGGGAAAATAAAAACAGAGTAAAATTTGACAATTTCAAGGCAAAATGTTGTAGGGATATGTCTGAGTAGTGCACACCACTCTGTCTGGCTGCAGAAATAGGTGATGTGAGCATATTTTGCACATTTCTGGAAAGGGAAGAGGTAGAGACCAGAAAGCCAGGGGGTTTCAGCCTTTTTTTTTTTTTCCCAAGGAAACAAAAACCTGGGCAGTCATACTGCTACCACCAACCCTTCCCAAACAGGTTCCCCTGCACGTGAGCTGGTGTTTTCTTGGGTTGCAGATGCCCTGGTTTGTGGTGCTGTGCAAGTGCTGATCCTGACTGTCCTGTGCCATCCCAGAGATGCTGGAGAGCTCCTACTAGGGCTGCAAATCTGATTTAAAAGCTCCTGCTGAAACAGCTGAGTGACTTGCTAAGACATATTGAACTGGAGTTGGTAGGTGATGTTTTCCAAAGGGAAACAGGAGTGAAAGGAGATTAATTAATGCCTGCCTGGAGCCTGTGGGCTCTGTGAAGGAGACATTTAGTGCCACAAGCCAGCCTTTTCATCTAAACAAACTGTAATTATGTAGCTATTACTGTCAGTGCTTTTAACTCTTTCCCTGGTAATTAGATTTATATCAAATCAACGTTTAAAGCTCCCAAATCCATGGGGATATTTTGGTGCCAGGAGCTTCAGCTTCTCTTTCCCTTATGTCTTGATTAATGGTTTAATAGGGATGATGTTGAGACTGCTGCCAAGGCTGGGGAGGTCACTGCTGGGGGCAGCTGTGGTTAATTTTGTCCTCCTGAGAATGTCAAGATGGGACAAAGGGGGATGGTTTCAAACTCAGAGTAGGGCTAGATGGGATATTGGGAATAAATTCTTGCCTGTCAGGGTGATGAGACACTGACACAGAGACACTGTGCATTCCTGGCAGTGTCCAAGGCCAGGCTGGATGGGGCTGACAGCAACCTGGGACAGTGGAAGCTGTCCCTGCCTCCATCCAGGGGGTGGACTGGATGAGCTTTAAGGTCCCCTTCCAACCCAGACCATTCCACTCACTTATTCTCACATTCTGCATTAATTATGTAAAGAAGCCTTTTCCCTCCCTGGTGAAGCCAGCATGAATAATTCAGGCTCAAATGCAAGTGCCTCATCCATTGGGAAGGCAGCAAGGAATGCTTTGGGTTGTTTCTCGAGGAATTTGTGGCTCACAGGGCACAACCCCACAGCTACAGGCTGCACCATGTGCCCTGCCTGTCCCTTCATGCCAGGGGTGAGTCACTGCACCTCACCTGGAATTAAGGAGCAGAGCTGAGCTGTTCCCAGCCTGGGAAGATCTTGGTCCCCGAAATACTTTACTAAACTCCCTAATTTAAGCAAAATGGGTGAAAGCACTTTTAACTTTATCGTGCTGCATAGAGGATGATGAAACTTATTCTCCACTGTTTTAGATCATGATTAAAAAGGAAGATGTATGAAAAAATATATTACTTTGGTGCTTCAAGGGAAAAAAAAATTAGCAAAATGATACAGGGGAATGGCAGTGAACAAATCCACCATGAAGAAGAGTTATTAAAAAAATTCATGTGAAGCTCTGCCTGATGAGCTATGTGCTCCTAGGGAATTTGTGTAAGGAAAATAACACGATTTTCTGGAGGAGAAAGAGGGAAAAAACAAAGGCATTGAAGTGTTTGAGTATTTTTCCAGCATAAAATAAGTTTCATGGTTTAAAAATTACATAATCATCTACCAGATATAATTACAACATCGCAATTCTGCTCCAGGTGCTGACAGAGGAAGCAGGAGCTGGGATAGAAAAGGCTCTTGTCATTTTGGTGGCCAAATTATAAAGAAATTGGTCTAGGTAAATCAGACAAGTGGGCTTTGCTAGCTCAAAATATTGTGAATTGTAGCAAAATCTATCACCTTTTAATGACCTTGATTAGGTTTAGGTTTTCATATTGGTCTGATTCCTCTGCTCTCAGTGGATTCACATTGGGACAATCCAGCTGAGCTGCACCTTTTTTTTAATGCGGAGTTTATAAATGTCATGTTTTCTGAAGGACAACACCCAAACTCGTGGAAAATGCAAAACAGAAGGGTGCCTCTTGATGGCTGAGGGCCATTTTGCAGCCTGTCCAACAAGGGCAAAGACCATGTGCCTTCCTGTTAGCTTGGAGAGGACTCCTGGGCATTGCAACACTGGGGATAAAATCAGGGAATAAGTCTTTGAATCCCAATTTAATGTCCCAGCAGGGGTTTTATTAGTGCTGGGAGAACTGGGGGGCAGTGCCCACACTGGATATCTTCATGTTTGCACCTTGCTGATACATTCCTTAGAATCACAGGATCACTTATGTTGGAAAATACCTCTATTGAGTCCAACCAATACCCATTTGCCTGAGCAGTTGGATAAATTAATATTTCACTGTGATTCTGTTTTGCTCAAAGCCTGCAGGCAGTCAGGAAGCCGCGTTTGCTGCAGGCTGTCCATCAAAAGGATCTTTCATCCCCTCCACCCCTCTCCAGGGCAGATTCTCACCTCTGTGCTCTCTTTCCAGAGGTGCCAACGGATAAATTGGCCTCCATGGCGTTGCTGCGGAGCCTCAACCTGCGGGCGAACCCCGTCAGCCCTGAGGTGCGGCTGCTGGTCCAGCCCCTGGTTCCCTTCGACCTGCTGCTGTCTCCAGAGGAGCCCATCCCTAGAGCCTGACAGGATCCCAGGCTGCCCGAGCTGTCCCGAGGGGTGACTGCCCACCAGAGTGGTTTGCCTTAGGTCAGTCCCTGCTACGCCCCCGTTTATGCCCCAAAGCTGCAGCCAGAGGGTCCCAAACCCGAGCGAGTGCCTCGATTTTCCTAAATTAAAAGCAAGCAGTGGGGCTCCCCCGTGAAGGGATGGCTCTGCCAAATCCCAAGCCAGGCAATCTCCTGCTTATGTGTTTTGGGGGTGCAGAGGAGCTGCAACACATGTGCTGGGAGGTTTGGGTAGAGCTGGGGGAAATCTGGACGTTCAGCCTGCCACCCAGGCACTGACGGGGAGCAGTGGGATGGTGGAGGATATCCCTGCAGCTGTAAGGGTTCTCCCTGGAACTGCTGACAAAGTGGTGGTGTGCCAAGTGCCTGATTAAATGCTTTCCTGTTACACTGGGGGCTTTGTATCTGATTAAATTTGAATTACCAGTCTTGTCCTTAGAGAAGCCCCTTCGCTCAGCTGCTCACTGCAGCCTCCAACTGGATTCTCCCAGATTCAAGGGGTAATTCCCTGGAAAAATCCTTGTTTTCCAAAAAAATTTTCTTCCCTTCTGTTTTTTTCACCGTGGAAGCCAAAGTGACCCAATGCCAGTAGGTCCCCACACGCTGCTCATCCCGTGGCTGTCCCCAGAAGTGTGTGCCCACCTCTTGGGTGCTGTGGGTCCTCAAGTTGTGCTGATTCCCTTCCCAGGAAGAAATGTCCTGGAGAGAGTGGCTTCTTGGCTTGGCTTGGCCACTGCTAAGCACAGCCATGTACCTTAGCAGCTGGCTGCCTGCAAAAGAAAAACTCCTGAGAGAAACTCCAGGTGTTATCTCAGAATGCCTTGTTTAAACATCTCCCTTGTTTGTTCCTTTTTTTATTTAAGGGACAAATACTTCCCAATGCTGTGTGTGGGCTGGGGACAGCCAGGAACGGTAAATCCTGTAAATATTTGACTTCTAGACTTGCCAAACTTTGATAAAAGATTATGGTGAGAGATGTTGGGCATGCCAGAGGAGCTGGGGTTGAGTGGACCATCCTGAAACCAGGACCAGCATCTCTAAACATCGTGTTGCTTTTCCCTCTGTGTGGATTGATGGGTGGGGGATCTCCCCACTCGTTTTGAGGCTCCTGGCATATTTTCCTCCCGGGACGGACAGGAGCGCTGCTGGGGACACCAGCCACCAGCTGCCAGCATCACTGTGGGGACCTCGGTGGCAGCGAGGGGCCACAGACCCGGACTACCCGGGTATCCATGGCGATAGGAGGCTCTTTCCCCCCGCACCCCCTCCCCTTCTCCGCCGCAGCCGGCGAGCAGCCGCAACCGGCGCGGCGGCACCGCGGCGGCGGCTCTGGGGCTCCGGGGCTCCGGGGCTCCGGGGCTCCGGACCGGGCGGGAGGAACGGAGCGAGGGACGGGGGCGAACCGCGCTCCCTCCCCGGGCAGCAGATCGCCTTCTGCACGGGAGCGATGCAGCCCCCGGAGCCGGGTCGGGCCGGCGGAGGTGAGTGCTAAGATCTGATTGATTTTATCCTCCCAGAAAAGCTATCCACCCCTCATGTCAGCCCCCTATTCCATCAGACCAGCCTTTCCCTGCGGTGGTTTCCCACAGCCGGGCAGGGAGGCAGGTAATCCATCGTCCCCCGTGCGGTCCCCCCATCCCCTTGTCCTCATGTCAGGTGGTGTCAGTCAGTGCTGAGCTGAGGAAGCCTTGCTGCCATCCATCCATCCATCCATCCATCCATCCATCCATCCATCCATCCATCCATCCATCTGTCCGTCCATCCATCCATCCATCCATCCATCCATCCATCCACTCACTCATCCGTTCAGCACCCACCCGGGTGCTCAGCAGCCCCTTGTTTTCCTTTCCCCGTCTTACACCTCGCTTTAAAACCAACTCCAATTCTATAGGACACCAACCTACTGCTCGTGCTGCACTGCAGCCCCAAAAAATAAAGTCCAGCAAAGTTTTAGGCTTAATATCACAGGTTTTGGGCAATCTCATTACAGTGTTCGTTATTGCTCCTGCTTACAGAGCTGGTTCACACATCTGATACTGATCATCTGGAGAATCTTGCCCCCTCGATCCCGATACTCCCTTGCCTCTCCAAGAGCCTCCTTCTCCTGTGTCAGCTGCATACCACCCCAGCGCCTTTCTGAATCCCCACTGGAAATGTGTTGCCCAAATCCTACACTCAGGACTGGGGTATTAGGGGCTGGATAGGGCCTCCTGCCTGCTGGAACCTTGAGGAAGCCGGTGGTCCCGGTGGCTGGGAAAAGCATCTCGGCTGGTGAGCTGGGCACCGGCATCGGCGCAGGGATGGGGGATGCTCCGGCTGCCCAGCACACAGCGGTTTTGGAGGGCTGTCAGCGCAGGGCTGACCTGCAGGTGTCTAGGCTGAGCCTTAAAGCTAAAATGTGCCTTTCCTCGGCTCACAACTGCAGCCTGGATTCTCCCGGAGCCAGTCCCGTCACCGCTGCAGGCAGCTCCTGCCCACGCCCGGCATCCTCCCGCATCGCTGCCTGTGTGCGGCTGGGGAAGCCCGAGGGTGGGAGCTGCCGAGCTGCTGGTGACAAAATACCACCCCCGCGCCTCCATCAGGACCTCCCAGATAATGATCAGAAAGACAATTATCGCTTTAGATGTGAGAGGAGGGGAGGGTGTCCTCTGCCTCAGCCCCTTTCCTCTGGTTCTTGCGGTTTTGCCGGGAAGAATAAGATTTTGCGGAATATCGAATTGAAAACCTTGGAAGCACAAGGAGAAGCAGCGGCAGCCGCCCGGGGGCAGGGATGGTCCCAGGCCAGCCGTGACTGGGACCGCACGGATACAACTCCCATAAGGCCGGAGCACTGGAGTGTCAGGATGTGGATTTGTCTTCCTTGCATCATCCCTAAAAAAAAGGCCCACGAGATTAGGATGTCTTCTGGGCCGCCCTAATTCCTCATCAAAAGAATGATGCAAATACTAATAATATAAAGTAATAACGATATCACACAACAATTGTATCAAATAATAATTACATTGATGGTATAAAACAATCATGATTTAAAATAATTCAGCCGAGGTGCTGGAAAACCTTGAGCTGTGTAACCCAAGGAGGAGACTTGTTGGGGCATGGAGATGAGTACAGCAGGACATGCCCCAGCCAGTCTGGGCACTGGAATAAATATGAAAACACACCTCTGGAGGCATAAGAAATGAAGGGAATAATTGCTTTATTCTCTCCTGGCTTCATTTTCCTGCTTTCCCTTCCCCAGGCCCTTCCAATGGTACCTGGTGGCCCAACTCCAGTGCCAACCACCTCCTGAGGGAGAACTCCACCTTCCTGGCGTACTACCAGCACTCCTCCCCCGTGGCTCTCATGTTTATCCTGGCCTACACCTTCATCTTCCTCATGTGCGTGATCGGCAATGTCCTGGTGTGCTTCGTGGTGGTGAAGAACCGCCAGATGCGCACGGTCACCAACATGTTCCTCCTCAACCTGGCCATCAGTGACCTGCTGGTGGGCATCTTCTGCATGCCCACCACCCTGGTGGACAATCTCATCACAGGTGAGCAAGGAGAGGAAGGGGGAAAGACCTTTTTTTTTTTTTAGGTTCTGGCCATTTAAGTTTGTCCCTAATGCTGCATTTGCATATTTGTTTGAAGTCCAGCCATTCTTTACCAAGCAACATTGAAAAAAACCTCCTTTCTACATCCACCTTCTCCTGTGCTGGCTCAGCTCTGCCTGTTGACCTTTCCAAAGATAAGGCACTGGGAGGGTTCAGCTGCAGCAGCAGCCAGGCCATAGGGCAGGGTTTGTATCTATTGATTATGGGGTGTGATTTATTTATGGTCTTGGTATTGGGGTCAAGAAACAAGATTAAAGTCCTTCTGATTGAGGGTCCCAAAGTTGGTAGGAAAAATGACAGCCACCATGTTCCTTGAGTTTCTAAGTGTAATGTGCATCCTTTTTACCAGTTTTGGGGTTCTTCTTTAAGGATCCATGCTGCTAAAGGCTATCTCCACACAAGACCCCTCTTAGGAGCAGGACTTGGCATCCCCCAGCAACAACACAGTGGATAGGGACACCTAAAGGGAGCTGGGTGAGCCAGAGGCACCTACAGCCTCCAGTGTCCCCTCACAGGTTGGCCCTTTGACAACATCATGTGCAAAATGAGCGGCCTGGTGCAGGGCATGTCCGTCTCCGCCTCTGTTTTCACGCTGGTCGCCATTGCTGTGGAGAGGTATGTTGGCACGGGGATGTGGGGACGTGGGGACCAAGCAATGTCCAGCAGGTCCAGGTGCCCTGTGCGGTTCCCATTGCAGGGAAGCTCTTGGGAATGTCAGGAGCCTGTCACAGCTCTCCAGGAGGACCACAGAGCTGTTCATGGGGCATTCCAGCAAGGTGTCCTTCCCCACACTGGGCTGAAAACACCAACTTATCTCTGCCACCAAAGGACACGTGTAAAGAGCAACCCACCTTGCCCTCCATTCCCAACCCTGGGTCCTGGCTGCCCTCCTTCCCCAGGGATGTCCCCACCAGGTGCCCAAAGCTACCATCAGCTGTTCTCCCACAGGTTTCGCTGCATCGTCCACCCCTTCCGGCAGAAGCTGACACTGAGGAAAGCCCTGCTGACCATCGCCATCATCTGGGTGCTGGCCCTGCTCATCATGTGCCCTGCTGCCGTCACCCTGACTGTCACCAGGGAGGAGCACCACTTCATGGTGGACACCTACAACAACTCCTACCCTCTCTATTCCTGTTGGGAGGCCTGGCCTGAGACAGGGATGAGGAGGATCTACACCACCGTCCTCTTCTCCCACATCTATGTGGCTCCCCTCGCCCTCATCGTCATCATGTACGCCCGCATCGCCTTCAAGCTCTTCAAGTCAGTGGCGCCCGCCCATGGCGGAGAGGAGACGGAGGGGAGGAGGATCTCCCGGAGGAAGGCCAAGGTCATCAACATGCTCATCATTGTTGCCCTCTTCTTCACCATCTCCTGGCTGCCCCTCTGGACGCTGATGTTGCTGACGGATTACGGGCAGCTGAGCGAGGGCCAGCTGCGCCTGCTCACCGTCTACGTCTACCCGTTCGCCCACTGGTTGGCCTTCTTCAACAGCAGCGCCAACCCCATCATCTACGGCTACTTCAATGAGAACTTCCGCCGGGGCTTCCAGGAGGTCTTCAGGGCCCCGCTCTGCTCGCTCCACAGCCAGCGCAGGCCCTACACCCCCCGCAGCCACGCTCATAGGACCCTCTTCGGCACTCGCAACCGCATCTTCACCCAGGTGCGAACCAGCGACTCACCAGCCGTGTCCGAGTCAGGGCCACTGGCCCCGCGCCACGCTGGTGCCCCTGCGTGGGACGGCTGAGGAGCTGTGGCCACCAAACCCCTCTGGACCAAGGGCTTGTGGGGTGGGGAGTGGGGACTTGCCACATTATGGCCACGAGACATGGAAATAAAGGTGTGTCCTACTGCTGCCTTGTTCCTGGCTAGGCTCCTCCACTTCCCCCACAGCACCATCCGGAGGACCCCTGGCTGAGCCCCCTGGGCCCTGCCAGAACCCCCCTTATCCACCCCAGTCCAGGCACAGGGCCAGGGGATGCAGGGATCCTGTCCATGCTTGGCCATGCTACAGAGAGGCATGCAGCACCATGCTGTGCTGGACCAAGCCATGCCATGTGGGACCGTGTGAAACCACGCTGCCATGGTCGTGCCAGGCAGGACCAAGCCATATTGTGCTGGACTGTGCTACCCCATGGCCAAGGGGAATGGACCATTCCATGGCCATTCCACAGATGGACAATGCTGTGGCCATGGTGTAATGAGGCATCCCACAGTGCTGTGGCCATGCTGGACCAAGCTGGGCTGGACCACGCCATCCCATGCTATAGTGACCCTGCTAGACCAAAGCATGCCATGCAGGACAATGCCACTCCTTGCATTTGTGGCCATTCTGGACCATCCCACCATACTGCAGTGGCCGTGCCATGCTGGACCAAGCCATGCCATGCCACCCCAGGCTGTCATCATGCCATGCTGGATTGTGCCAGCCATGCCATGCAGGATCACGCCGTGCTGGACCATGCCACCGCTTGCTACTATGGCCATGCTGAACCATGCTGGGCTAGGACCATGCTGTGCAGGTCCATGACAGCCCAGGCTGTTCTGGCCATGGTGAGCAGGACCATTCCCAGGCAGGCAGAGCCATTCCCAGGCAGGCTGGGCCATTCCCAGCTGGGCCGGGCCATTCCCAGGCAGGCCGGACCATTCCCAGGCAGGCCGGACCATTCCCAGCCGGGCCGGGCCGTTCCCACCGGGCCGGGCCGTTCCCGGCGGGGCCGGGCCGTTCCCAGCAGGCCGGGCCGTTCCCACCGGGCCGGGCCGTTCCCAGTGGGGCCAGGCCGTTCCCGGCCGGGCCGTTCCCACCGGGCCGGGCCGTTCCCAGCCGGGCCGGACCGTTCCCAGCCGGGCCGTTCCCAGCCGGGCCGTTCCCAGCCGGGGCCAGACCATTCCCACCAGGCCGGGCCGTTCCCACCGGGCCGGGCCGTTCCCAGCGGGGCCGGGCCGTTCCCAGTGGACCGGGGCCGGACCGTTCCCAGCCGGGCCGGACCGTTCCCAGCAGGGCCGGGCCGTTCCCACCGGGCCGGGCCGTTCCCAGCCGGGCCGTTCCCAGCCGGGCAGAGCCGTTCCCACCGGGCCGGGCCGTTCCCAGCCGGGCCGTTCCCAGCCGGGCCGTTCCCACCGGGGCCGGGCCGTTCCCACCGGGGCCGGGCCGTTCCCACCGGGGCCGGGCCGTTCCCACCGGGCCGGGCCGTTCCCACCGGGCCGGCCGTTCCCACCGGGCCGGGCCGTTCCCACCGGGGCCGGGCCGTTCCCACCGGGCCGGGCCGTTCCCACCGGGCCGGGCCGTTCCCAGCCGGGCCGTTCCCAGCCGGGCAGAGCCGTTCCCACGGGGCCGGACCATTCCCAGCCGGGCCGTTCCCGGCCGCGCCGCGTGGCGCGGGGCGGGCCGGGTGCGCGCGCGCGCGGGGCGGGGCGCGCGCGGTGTCCCCCACCCCCGGCGGCGGCGGCGAGCGGGACGCGTGCGCGGCGATGTCGCGGTACGGCGTGGAGGAGCGCGCCGGGCCCCACAGCCCCGAGTACCGGCTCTTCTTCAGTGAGTGCTGCGGCCCCGCCACCCCCCGCGCCCCGCCTGCCCCTCCGCTGCCCGCCAGCGCTCGCCTGAGCCCGCTCCGGTGCGAGCTGCCGGGCGGCTGACTGGGCTCCCTCCCCTTGCCTTGCAGAGGATGCCGCCGGGCGCTACATCTCCCCCTTCCACGATATCCCCATCTACGCGGACGCCGGGAAGGTGAGAGGAGGTCTTGAGACACGCAGGGGATCGGGGAGTCCTGAAACATCCCGGGGATCAAGGGATCTGGGAACACACTGGAGACCAGAGGTCCTGAAACATCCCAGAGACCAGGGCATCGGGGAACAACCCAGGAACCAGGGGATTTGGGAACACACGGGGCATCAGGGAATCCCGAAACGTCCAAGGAACCAGGGGGTCCTGCAGCCTAAGGCACCCAGGGGAGGCTCACCCTACAAGGAATGGGTTTCTTGCTGTCCTGGCCTCGGGTGAAGCAGCCCAGGAGAAGAGAATGGACGATCTCATTCTCATTTTTTGCATCAGAGATGCGACTGGTTGGCTTGAGCTTACCCATGCAGGCATTTTGGGTTAGCTAAGCAGAAAACTGCTTTTTTTGTAATATCTATCCCCATTCCTATGCGTGCTGCATGATATTTCAGGCTTGGGGTTTGGCTGCAGTATGGCCTAAAGTATAATACAACAAAGAAAAGAGAGTGAAGATGAACAGGTTAAATTCCTGCTGTAACATCTCCTGGGACCTCTTGCCTGGCAGAACCTGCCCCTTGCAGTGCTGCAGGGCTTTCACATCCTTCTTGCAGACAGTGGTTAGTCAAATTAGGCTGTTGTGAACAAAAAATGCCCCAGCTTCAGGAAATCAAAATGGTTATGTTTCAGTTTTCATTTAATGTTTTTTCAGTGGTACCTCGGGCTCTGACTGTTTCCTTTACTGTTGTAGCTTGTTTCTTTCTCTGACTATAAAGCTGTGCAGCTCGGGAAATGTAGTGGAGCAACTACTCCTTGTTAGAGAGAGATGAAATTCAGAGGTGGAGAGTGGTTCTGGTAAAGGAAGAAAGAATATGCAGAGCTGAGAGATGGATCTCTAAAAAGCAGCTGATTGAGCTGCTGAGGTGAAGGTGATGGAGCTACCTGAGGTGGCTTTTGCCTTCACGGAGGAGAAAAGATGGATTGTGGTCATCAAGGACTCAGCAGTGGCTGAGTAGGGAAGCAGTTCCCAGTGCAGGTGCCTGGCAGGAAACCCAGCCAAGGAAAATGCAGATAGTGCCATGCTTTGCAGGCACCTGCAGAACAGGGGAGGAAGAAGCAGGGGAGTGTGTACAGAGGTGAGGGGGAGTTCCTTGAACTGGTAGTGCTTAACAGGGGAAACTGGTGTGCCCTCAGGCATGCAGTGCTGCTGCCAGCACCTCTGTGCCAAGTCATTCAGAGAAAAAAGTCCCAGTAGCTGAAGGTCACAGTCCCCGAAGTTACACAATAGTGCTGGTCCCACGGGGCTCTCTCTGTGGCTGGAGTGCCTCAGCACTGAGGTTTTACTCATCACTTAGCAGGTGGGCTGCCAGCTACATTACAGGGCCCAGCTCAGAGCAAAAGGTTGTCCCACTCTGTCTGGCCTCCTTGATCCTTATCCTCAGACTCCTAAGACACTGAGAGGATTTCAGATTGTGTTTTTTTCAGTCTCAGGCTGGGCTGTGTTGACCTTACCTGGACCTGTATCATTGCAAAGGGATGCCCTTGAGCTCCTCTCTGTGTGTCTTTGGCCAAGCTGGACCATGGGGAAGCTTCAGTCCTTACAAAGATGCAGCCCCAAGTCATCTTTCCCTGCCTGCAAAGCCAGAAGCTCCCAGCTCAGCCTGTTCCAGTTGCCTCACTCCTTCCCTCGAGTTAGGAATAAAAATAGTTCTGTACCTTTCTACATGCAAAATGCAAATGAGCAGTGACCCCCCTGCAATCAAGGGATTGTAATAAAGCTCTGCTAGGGAAGGGTGTGGGCAAAGTCAGTGATGTAACAGCACTTGTTGCACAGTATCAAGCCAATTATGGGGCAATACAGGTTCGAGGGACTTTGCCATGCTAATACTGCTTAAGGTGGGGATTAGAAACCTGGCCCAGGCCAGGGAGCAAGGTTTGACTTTTTGTTACTAGGCCATAATCTCTTCAAACAGCAGATGTTAAGGTACAGGTGTGGAAAAGCTTGTTTTCTTGGAGAGGAGGCTGACATTGAACTCTCAGGCCAGCTGGATCAACAGGAGATGTTTTCGAGTGTCACCTCTAAATGAGATACAGTGAGATGTGGTTCTGCATTTCTCCCCCACATTTTTATCCTCACACCATGCCACTAGCAATGTCTGCTTTTACAGGAGTGTCAGCCTGGAGAAAGGGCATCCTTACCTACGTTATTACTAGAATATTTGGGAGTGATGGTCTCACTCATTCAGGGCAGTACATAGATACCTACACTATTTAATAGATGGCTTCTCATGTTGGTCTTGTCTTTTCTGAATGGCCAGAGTGGCTCTTTCTGGAGCATTAAACACTTTGTATTTAATAAATAAGGCCTAAACCCCATTTTGTTGTGTCCAGGGTAGTTTGTATGCAGCTGTTTGCCATTGATTTAACCTGTTCCTGTAGCCTAGGAATGTGATAGGGATGATTGTAGGTGGCAACTGCTGGAGAACATGTGGGAACTTCAAATCTGGCCTTTGGGGTGTTTTGTGGGATTCAGCTTGAAGTGATGACATGCAACTGACTGGGCTACAGGACTTTTATCAGCTGTCTCAAAATTAGCTCTGAAAAAAGAAACCAAAACAGCAGAACAAACATGGTTTCAGGTGAGCTGGCTGTTTTTTCTGCTCACTTATATGTGTTCCCTAGTTTAAAGCATGGCCCCAAGGTTCCTTCCCACTCACTGCTGTTTTGCTTTCTTCAGAATGTGTTCAACATGGTCGTGGAGGTACCTCGATGGACAAATGCTAAAATGGAGGTAACTACATTACAGTTCCAGCCTTAATGCTTGGCTTTGTCAAGCCCTCCTCAATTCCACCTCTGGAATTGCAGTGGTTTCTACCTGCCAGTTGGTGGTTAGAAGTTAGTGGTTTCTAACTTCTCCTGTGAGAACCTGCTTGATATGGAGGAAATAAACCTGGAAATAAACCTCCTCTGATGTGGAGGCTGAGATTGCAGATGTTGGAATGCTGTGGTGTTCTCACATGGCTTCTGATAAAAGCAATATTTTATGGCTCTTGGCTCCATGTGATTCCAAGGCTTGTAAGTCTGCTAGAAACCAAGGGATGGCAATGCAACAGGAGGTGTCCAGTATCTGCTGCTGGTATCAGCA